AGTACCATGTCCTGGGCCGTCTACCTCATGCCGGACGGAGATGGCACCGAGAGATCGCCCTCCACAGCGGCAGTGGCGGCGGAGGAACCCTTTCACTCGGTAAGCTTCGCTTTTCATTTCACTCCCTCAGCGATACCCTCGTCGTACTGTACCCATCCACGTGCTTGCAGCTAATTCGATTATTTGGGTGTAAATTCAAGTCCCTCCATACTCAAGGCGTAAGCGTATTCTGGTTAAAGCTTGTGAAGGGTTGATTGTTGTCAAATTAGCCTATATTCAAGTCATTGGCAAATAACCAGGTTTCTGCAGACCTCATTCTTCATGAACGCGGATATCGCGAAGAATAAGAGACTGAATTCGTTAAGGTAACTTTGCGGCTTATTGGGGAGTAGTAGACGCGATCGCGGGAAAAAGAACCTCATTCGCCTGGTGTTTCGGAGATATGTCCGAATCCATCATCAGAGACATCGCCAGGTACACATCTACTGCAGTGAATGAAATGCAGGTGTGTCCAGTTTCTGTGAGCTGAAACTGCCTAGCTATGAAACAGGTGGTCACAGGAATAACGGTCTCAACATCTTGCTTTCATTCGGTTGAATTTTGACTACAGTATCCACTCTCGCTTCCGATCATTTTGACTTTCACCTGCCGCCTAGCGCAGAAGAGGGGTAGGCCGAAGCGAGTCTGCAAATTAGCTGAATTATAACCTCCTGGAACCGAAGTATGTGCTTTCTCTAATAAATGAGGTTTCTTGAGGCCTACTTTCGCGCAAAATAACCCTTATCTGCTTCTTCTGAAGACAAATGTGTCACCCGCATTGGAAGAATGAGAGTAACTTAAAAGAGCCTTTGTTATGCACATGGAATTCTCGGTGTTTAATGCACGCCATCGAGACCGGTGCCCAATGGACTTCCCGCTGTGTGATCCTATGTAAATGTTCAATTTGATTTGGGTAGGAAGAACGAGTAATTACTGAATCCTAAGGAGATAATGCTCGCCTCAGAATTTCGGTTGAAATTTCATGAGATAGGAAATCCACTATAGCCGCAGAACACCCTGAATTTTGATGAATTCGAAGACACTGTCACATCGCGAGCACTACCCTCTTAGAAGTTGCTCGATTTTCATTCAGTATTCCCTAAAATAATTCGTTTGCTTGTTATTTCCGTGGGGCCAAGTCTATTTTTCTGTCGTGTTTACCTTTCGGACAATAGAGTAGCATGCATACGGCTCGCGTTGCTGCTGTCAGGTCATGTCAAAAGGACGACAGGAAAAGATTTCAATCCACAATGGACGATACTCACAGCTGGCATCATGCTTGAACACGTTTGCATTTCCCCAGGTGTAGATCGGTTATCTTCATCCCCTCCACCCCCCCCCTCACGTTCTTACTACATGCAATGTGCTCACTGACATTTTTATTAATTCACAGAAGGACCAAACTTGTCTTCGTTTGCAGAATTCAAAAAAGAACTAACAAGAGTTGATGGGCATTCCGACATTTCTTGACAGTAGAAAATCAAGTGCATTATTTTGTTTTACACCAAAAACTTTTCAAGCTGCGTTCGCAGCAGGCGAAACTGAAGTTTGCGAGATGAGTGCTACCACCCCCCTCCCCTGCTCCCTAAAGCTGAACCAAACGTGAAATGAGGGGATTGACCCTTCGGCAGGTCACGCCAGTAGGAACTATCCCACTCCTCGTAGTGCATGTGGCCTCGCGTTTATTTCTGAGAAGATTAAATATTCTCGCGTCCTAACCCTAACCTGGACCTAATCTGCCTTACCCCACACATTTAATTTCCCCTGAATTTCGCGCAAAGCCACCGGGTATCACGGACGGTCTCTGTTCCTATGCTCTGCCGATGGGTTCTATAAGCAACCTCTACGCAATTCCACGTTGTATAGCATCGCGGAGGATAGGAGTGAGAGTAAGTTAACGCATACAGAAAATACTGGCGACTGCACAGATGCGCAACAAAGTCGGCTGGGATTGAGCAGCCATTTTGAACAGCAGAAAAACATCTGCCTTTGTATCTGTACGTGATAGTGAACGAAATGCGGATCACTGTAATTGTACCCCC